TGGCGTGTGCCTGTAGTCCCAGCTACTTGGGAGGCTGAGGCAGGAGGCTCACTTGAGCCCAGGAGTTTGAGGTTGCAGTGAGCTACGATGATGCCACTGTACTATACCCGGGGCGACAGAGTGAAACTCTGTCTCAAAAAAAAAAAACAACAAAAAAGCAGAGTCTCAAAGAGATATTTGTATATCTGTGTTCATAGCATTGTTCACAGTAGCCAAAGATGGAAGTAACCGCAGCGTCCACCAGCAGATGAATGGATAAACAAAATGTAATAGCCAAACAATGGAATATTATTCAGGTTTAAAAGGAAGGAAATCCTGTCACATGCTGCAGCCTGGATGAACCTTGAGGACATTATGCTAAATGATATAAACTACTCACAAAAAGACAAATACTGTGTGATTCCATTCAGATGAGGTCCCTGGAGTAGTCAGATTCATAGAGACAGAAAGTAGAGTGGTGGGTGCCAGGGGCCGGGGCAGGGGGAACGGGGAGTTAGTGTTTAACGGGGACAGGGTTTCAGTTCCGTAAGACGAAAGGAGTTCTGGAGGCGCATGGTGGTGATGGTTGCGCAGCAGTGTGAATGTACGTAATGTCATCGAATCGTCCACTTAAAAATGATTATGGTGGTAAATTTTATGTTAGGTGTATTTTACCGTAATTAAAAAAACTAGTAATACATACGTACAAAAAAGTGAGTATAGGAAAAGATTAACAATAAAGCAACCACCCATGTTACCACCACCCAGGTTAAGAAATAGGATATTACCAACTCTCTGGAAGCCCTTTTCCCGGCTCCAGCCCCTTCCTGTGTCGTAGACTTGGCTACTGTCCTGCCTTTTATAGTTTCCTGGCATTTTCTTTGTAGTTTCTACCACCCCTGTATGCATCTCAAACAGTACGGTATCATTTTGCCTGGTATTTGGACTTGATAGAGATGGACTCATACAAGATGTACTCTGTGTACTGGCTTCTTTCAGTATTGTTTTGGGAGACTCATTCGTGTTGTCGTGTGATGCCACAGGGTTCGTTTTTATTGCTGTTTAGTAATCCCTTGTGTTAGTCTGAGCCATGTCAAATTGCCTTTTTTTAAGGTAAAAAACAGTTGAATATCAGCAAATTGATACTTCCGCTACTAAGACTGTATCACAGTTTATGTATTAATTCTCCTTTCACGGTCAGGAGGCTGTTTCTAACTTGGGCCATCATGTAAGCATCGTATACATGATCTGCTAATGTACTCCACGTGCATTTTTCTAAGGTCGGTCCTTAGGAGTATATTGCTGGGGCTTCCATATGGAGTGAAAGTGAACTTGGATCCCTACCTCACACCATATAGACAAAATCAATTGGATTAATGACTTTAAACATCAAAGGCGAAACTTTACAGTGGCAGAACGTTATGGAGGGGAGGATTTCTTTAAGAGATACTGGAGGCCTCTCCCCCAGCATTTCCTGATGAACTCCCCTCAAACCCCCCGTTTCAGGTGAGGTCAGCACCGTGCTTAAGCTGGATAACACAGTGGTGGGCCAGACGTCCTGGAAGCCATGTGGCCCCAGCGCTTGGGACCAGAGCTTCACCCTGGAGCTGGAGAGGGTGAGCCGTGTTGGGGGACCACAGGGCTTAGAGGAGGAGGAGGAGTTCTGGGCCTCAGGCACCCCAAGTGATGGCCGTCTTCCTTCCCCCCGAGGCACGGGAACTGGAGTTGGCTGTGTTCTGGCGGGACCAGCGGGGCCTGTGCGCCCTCAAATTCCTGAAGTTGGAGGATTTCTTGGACAATGAGAGGCACGAGGTGCAGCTGGACATGGAACCCCAGGGCTGCCTGGTGGCCGAGGTACAGCCCAAGCTTCCTGCCTTCCCTGCTCCCAGTGTTCTAGAAGAGGAAAATACCTTTTAGATTGGTGTGTGAACCTTGTTAGAAAAGTACATCTAATTACGTCAGTGACACAATCTCAGATTCTTGCTCAGGCTGGTCTCAAACTCCTGACCTCAGGTGATCCTCCCGCCTTGGCCTCCCGGAGTGCTAGGATCAGAGGTGTGAGCCACAGTGCCTGGCCCCCATGCAGAAATTCTTACATGATCTGATAATCAAGGACCACTGAAAGAAAGGAAGAGAGAAGAGAGTTGAATTCAGATGGTGGGGCAGTGAACTTGTTCTTGCATTAGGAAAACTGTCCCAAACCAAGTAGAGGATGGTGGTGGGTGGCCCAAGGGGCAAATTCTGGTCTCGAACTCCTGAGCTCAAGCAATCCTCCTGCCTCGGCCTCCCAAAGTGCTAGGATTACAGGCGTGAGCCACCGCGCCCGGCCTAAGGGGCAAATTCTGAAACATTGCTACTCGCCTTCAAGGTTTACTCATAGCATTTTGTTTTGTTCTTATGCCTCTACAAAAGCACCATCCGATAGAACTTTCTACTGTTCTGCTGTTGATGAGCCTATAGTAGTTGAATTCTATTGCACATGCAAATATATTACATCTGAAGTATAGCCAGTGTGACCAGGGAACCAAAGTTTTAATTTTACTCAAGTTTTAACCAATTTAACTTGCTACATGTGGCAACCATATCAGACACTGCAGTTCTGTGACTTTAGCACCTTCTAAAAGTTATGTTGGAGGCTTGAGCCTATAGTCCCAGCTGCTTGGGAGGCAAAGGTGGGAGGATCACTTGAGTCCAGGAGTTCGAGACCAGCCTGGGCAATAGCAAGACCCCATTGCTACACAAAATAATTTTTAAAAAATACGCTGAGGGCTGGGCGCGGTGGGTCATGCCTATAATCCTAGCACTCTGGGAGGCCGAGGCGGGAGGATCACCTGAGGTTAGGAGTTTGAGACCAGCCTGAGCAAGAGCGAGACCCCGTCTCTACTAAAAACAGAAAGAAATGATCTGGACAACTAAAAATATACATATAGAAAAAATTAGCCGGGCATGGTGGCGCATGGCTGTAGTCCCAGCTACTCGGGAGAGTGAGGCAGGAGGATCGCTTGAGCCCAGGAGTTTGAGGTTGCTGTGAGCTAGGCTGAAGCCGCGGCACTCTAGCCTGGGCAACACAGCGAGACTCTGTCTCAAAAAAAAAAAAAAATACGCTGAGCATGGTGGCATGCACCTGTAGTCCCAGCTACTCGGGAGACTGAGGCGGGAGGATCGCTTGAGCCCGGGAGTTGGAGAGGCTGCAGTGAGTTATGATGACACCACTGCACTCTACCTGGGGGGACAGAGCGAGACCCTGTCTCTTAAAAAGAAAAAGAAGTTGTGTTTGAATTGGGAGAATTAAACTAGACCCATGGTTTCCCTCTGTGGGCGGGCACCAGCATCAGCTGGGGGGCTTGTTGAGACACAGAGCGCTGGGCCCCAGTCGCTGGAGTTTCTGGTTCATTAGGTCGAGGGGGGCCTGAGAATCTGTATTTCTGTCTAGCAAGTTGCCAGGTGATGCTGGTCTGCGACCACGCTTGGGCAGTCAGGTGCTGGGGGATGCAGGATGTGTTTGCTGGAGTTGCAGGTCGCTCTGGTTGGGTGAGACCCCTCCCTGCCTCTAGAGGGGGGTCCAGTCACTTGCTTCTTGCTTTCCAAGGTGGCACTTGAGGAGGTGTGTTGCTTTGGTGACCCTTTCCTGTGTCACATGCTACTCTGGGGTTCAATTCAATGTCATAGTGGTCAGGACCTCCAAGACACTTGGGTGCGCACACCTGTGCTCCTAACGGCTTACCCCCCAGGTCACCTTCCGCAACCCTGTCATCGAGAGGATCCCTCGGCTCCGACGGCAGAAGAAAATCTTCTCCAAGCAGCAAGGTGAGGGGGCTCGTCCGGGCCCACCGTTCCAGGGGGGAGGCCAGGGGTCCTGGGAGTGTCACAGAGGGTGACACCTGCCCCGTGCCCCTAGGGAAGGCGTTTCAGCGTGCCAGGCAGATGAACATCGATGTTGCCACGTGGGTGCGGCTGCTTCGGAGGCTCATCCCGAACGCGACAGCGACAGTCACCTTCAGTCCTGGGGCTTCTCCAAGGTCTGAGGCCCGGCCTGCGGGGTAAGGAGGGAGGGCCCTGGGGTCCCCGCTGCCTCTTATTGCCTCCTGGGGCGCTGGGTCCCAGACACACGTTCCTCCCCTCTGCTGCAGTGACATATCGGTGGAGAAGCTAAACCTCGGGGTGGACTGGGACAGCTCGCCCCAGAAGAGCCCTGTGCACCCTCCTTCCAGCCCATCCAGCCTGGTGAGCGTCCCTCCCCCACCTCCGTCCTCTGTGCCCCTAGGCCTGGCCTGGGTTTAGGTAGCATCATCCGTCTCGCTCCCAGCTCAGAGAGCAGGAACTTCCTTGGGGTTGCACAGCATGTCTCCAGCGGAACCAAGGCCCGGTTCTCTAATCCTGGTTAAAAACACGAGCCCGGGAGCAGCCCGCCTGGGTCCCCATCCCTGCCCTGCCGACTCGTGGCTCTGAGCCTCAGCTCTCCAGGCCTCCGTGCACCGCCCTGTAAGAGGAGCGCGTTCGAAACGAACGCTGACGATGGAAGTCAAGATCGCGGTGTTTTCTCGGCAAGGGTCACCGAAAGCAGGGAGACACAGGGAGCTTGCCCGGGTGATGGAAATGTTCTTCATCTTGATCTGGGTCAGAGGTCGGCATGCTTTTTCCGTTAAGGGCCAGATAGTCAATATTATCGGTCTGTGTCCCTGTCTGCGGCACGGCCTCAGAGCAGCCGCCACGTGCACAAAAGGGGCATGTCTGTGTTCCAGTAAAACCTTACTGGTTTGAATGAAACCAGTGAAAGTTCCAACCGCTGAAGTCTGAACGTCAGAGAACAACTATAGGTGACAAAATATTCCTTTTTTTATGATTTTTTTTTTCTAACAATTAAAAAATGTAAAAACCATTCTTACCTCTCGAAGACTGTACAAAAACAGCCTGGTCCACCTGGCAGCATTTGCCAACACCAGGCAGCAAGACCCTGTCTTTTTTTTTTTGAGACAGAGCCTCGCTCTCTTGCCTGGCCTAGAGTGCCGTGGCGTCAGCCTAGCTCACAGCAACCTCAAACTCCTGGGCTCAAGCGATCCTCTTGCCGCAGCCTCCTGAGTAGCTGGGACTACAGGCATGCGCCACCACGCCTGGCTTTTTTTTTATTATTATTATTCCCAATGATCCACTATCATTCCCAAAAGCCCCTGTCTTGAAAACAAAAATTAATTTTGATTTTTTTTTCAGTTATACATACTTGTGGTATAAAGAATTAAAGCTAATACCAAGCTGGGCTTGGTGGCTCCCGCCTGTAATCCTAGCACTCTGGGAGGCCGAGGCGGGAGAATCGTTTGAGCTCAGGAGTTCGATACCAGCCTGAGCAAGAGCGAGACCCCATCTCTACTAAAAATAGAAAGAAATTAGGTGTACAACTAAAAATATATATAAAAAATTAGCCAGGCATGGTGGCATATGCCTATAGTCCCAGCTACTCGGGAGGCTGAGGCAGGAGGATCGCTTGAGCCCAGGAGTTTGAGGTTGCTGTGAGCTAGGCTGACGCCACGGCACTCTAGCCCGGGCAACAGAGTGAGACTCTGTCTCAAAAAAAAAAATCAAATTAAATTAAAGCTAATACCAATACACAGATAAGTACAGTTGACCCTTGAACAACATGGAGGTTAAGGGTGCTGACCCCCATGTAGTTGAAAATCCATGTAATTTTGACTCTTTCGGAACTTAACTACGAATAGCCTACTGTTGACCAGAAGCCTTACTGATAACATAAACGGCTGATCACCACATATTTTATATGTTATGTGTATTATACGCTGTATTCTTACAATAAAGTAAGCTAGAGAAAAGAAAATGCTATTAAGAACATCATAAGGAAGAAAAAATATATTTACTATTCATTAAGTGGAAGTGGATCATCATAAAGGTCTTCCTTGAGGGGTTCTCTTAGTTAACATGGTGGTCGGCTAACAGCCTGAGAAGGTGACATTTGAATAAGGAAGAGGGAGGAGCCGAACCAGTGTATGTGAGAGGGGAACAGTCTGGGAAGATGGCACAGCCGTGCAAAGGTCCTGGGGTAGGAATGTGCCTGGTGTGTTCTGTGCTTAGGGAGGGGGAGAGTATGGCCAGAGGGAAGTGAGTGAGGGCACGTGGGAAGAGAGGAGATGCCAGATTGCTGAAGGGGCAGATTGTGTGGGCCTTGGAGACTATTTTGGTTTGGCGGGGGGGGCGGATCCCTGACTCCCCTCACTCTGGCCTCCTCTCCCTGCCACAGAGTTCCCCGATCCGGGAAACTATCACCACTCCCGAGCTGCCTTCGGAGACCCAGGAGACCCCAGGCCCCGCCCTGTGCAGGTGACACCCCTCCCCCAGCCCCCCACTCACCACCCCTGCCCAGTGCCCCCAGCCACACCAGTGTCCTCTCTCCACAGCCCTCTGAGGAAGTCCCCCCTGACCCTCGAGGATTTCAAGTTCCTGGCAGTGCTGGGCCGGGGTCACTTTGGGAAGGTGAGGTGGAGGGCAAGGGGCTGGGGAGCTGGGAGTCCAGACCCCCGGGACCAGGGCCGGCCGCCAAGACCCCTCGCTTCCCTGTGGTTGCAGGTGCTGCTCTCCGAGTTCCGGTCCAGCGGGGAGCTGTTCGCCATCAAGGCTTTGAAGAAAGGAGACATCGTGGCTCGAGATGAGGTGGAGAGGTAGGGACCGGCTCGGGCCCTCTGGGGCCCTCTGCTTTCTCTTCTGGGAATGAGAGACAGGGTCGTCCCTCCTCGGAGGTGCAGGGAGAGTGACTCATGATCGTCACTGGCACTTACTAGCCTCATACTCAGATAACAATTCTCAACAGTTATTCATTTGTTCCCCAGGCTGCCCTATAAGGTAAACACTGTTATTTTCCCTAGTCTCTATTGGCACAGAGATGTTGAGCAATTTGCCCAAGGACACACAGACAGTAAGAAGCAGGTCCGGGATTTGAACCTAAGGTCTCAGGCTCTGAAGCCTGTGCCCTTCTTGGCGCCACCACACTGCCTCTGCTTTGGGGTCAGACTCTGGGTTCGAAACCTCAGCCTCCTGCTGTGTGAAAGGCGAGTAATAATGTATTCATTGCAGGGTTGTTGGGTGGATTAAAGGAGAGGAGGCATCCGAAGCACTCTGCACAGTGTGTGACCCCTGTAAACACTTGGTGGAGGCACTGAGATTGTCCCTCGTCTTCCCAACATCCTTCTGATAATCGGGAATCCAACTCAAAAAGGCTTAAACAAGTAAAGGATTTATTGGTCTGGATCAGAAAAGTCTAGAGGTGTTCTGCCTTCAGGCACGGCTGTATCCAGGTGCTCAGATGATGTTTCTCAATTTCTGCTTTCCTTGGTGTGGGCTTTGCCTGCAGTCCTCTTGGCACAGAGATGCCCCCCTGCCCCGGCAGCTTCAGGCTCATTCACCAGTTTGAACACTTCTTCCTTAATAATCCCAGTGGAAATCAGCAGGACTTGGCTTGCTCATCCCCGAACCAGTCTCTGGCCAGAGAGAGGCTGCTGCGATCAGCCTGGGCCTCATGCCCACCCCTGGCAGTTCCAGCAAGAGAAGTCGAGGGGCTGTTACTAGGATGGTGGGTAGATTCTGGGGGCCTGTTTAGCAGATGAGGCTGCCAAGGCTCAGAGATATTAACCAACTTGCTCAAAGTCACACAGCAATATGAGGCCCTGAACAAAATATCTGTGGATTGAGGACTCCGGGGAGTATAGGAATCAGGGGTAGGGGGCAGCTAGTCTCTGACCTCTACCCCCCTGCTCTGCCCTGCCCAGCCTGATGTGTGAGAAGCGGATCTTGGCAGCAGTGACCAAGGCAGGACACCCCTTCCTGGTGAACCTCTTCGGCTGTTTCCAGACACCAGAGCACGTGTGCTTCGTGATGGAGTACTCGGCCGGTGGGGACCTGATGCTGCACATCCACAGTGACGTGTTCTCTGAGCCCCGTGCCGTGTAAGCGTCCCCCCACCCACCGACCCAGGCCCCTGCCTCCTGCCCCAGCGCACACAGGACATCGTGGCCCTGAGAGGCTGGCAGCCCCCTCAGCCCTCTGCCCTTGGGTCCCGCCTCCCGCAGCCTCCTGGAGCTTCGGGGGACTCGGGTGCTCTAGAGGATGTGGGAACCAGGCTTCCATGCCCCTCGCCCTAGCTGGGTGGCCCAGGACCCTCACTCCAGCCTGTTTCTTTGCAGCTTTTATTCGGCCTGCGTGGTGCTGGGGCTGCAGTTTCTCCATGAACACAAGATCGTCTACAGGTGTGTGCGCGTGCATGCTCTACCTGCTGTGGCAGGGGCGGGGGTTTCTGGCAGGGCTTAGACACCCCCCCCCCGACTCACCCCTCTTTACATCCCCCCCCATACCCTGCAGGGACCTGAAGTTGGACAACTTGCTCCTGGACACGGAAGGCTACGTCAAGATCGCAGACTTTGGCCTCTGCAAGGAGGGTGAGGGGCTGGATCTGAGGGGCCGGTGTCTGGGCATTAGACATAGGAGCGGAGAAGGAACGGAGTCCCTAACCCTACTCGGCGTTACCCCCACCCTGACTCTGGGACATGCCAGGCTGTGTAGACGACCCCAAGCTGGCTGAGCGGAATCCTCCTGCCCCCATAACCTCATGTGGCCTTGCTGCCCCCAGGGATGGGCTATGGGGACCGGACGAGCACATTCTGCGGGACCCCGGAGTTCCTGGCACCCGAGGTGCTGACCGACACGTCGTACACACGGGCTGTGGACTGGTGGGGGCTGGGCGTGCTGCTCTACGAGATGCTGGTTGGCGAGGTGAGGCCCCAGGCTGCCCCCCGACGACACACACATCCTGTGTGTTCCTCGGATCCCACTGGAACCTGCGAGCGCCCAGGGGTGGGAATCGAAATCTGCCTCCACCACCTGCTGTGTGATTGGGGGCTGTTGGCTTCACGACCCTGGCCTCAGTTTCCGCGTCTATAAAATGGGATACTTACTGTCCCATGTAAGCCAGCACCCTTGACAACACGCAGCCGAAGCTGGAGCCGGGGGCTCGGGTGGGGGCCGGGAGTGGAGGAGCCAGAGGAGGGGCCTGATTCACCCCGGCCCTCCCTGTGCCCAGTCCCCGTTCCCAGGGGACGACGAGGAGGAGGTCTTCGACAGCATCGTCAACGATGAAGTCCGCTACCCACGCTTTCTGTCGGCGGAAGCCATCGGCATCATGCGAAGGGTGAGGAGCCCCCGCCAAAGTGGGGTAGGCCTGGGAGGGGCTCCAGGACCCAGAGGGGACAGGCAGATCCTGACACTGTGTTCCCTCCTTCCAGCTGCTGCGGAGGAATCCCGAGCGGAGGCTGGGGTCCAGCGAGAGAGATGCCGAAGATGTGAAAAAGCAACCCTTCTTCAGGGTAAGGCTTCGTTCCCTCCTGGTGACCCCCCAGGACCCAGCCATCACCCCTTCCAAGGCCTGGTCACTCCGCCTCCAACATTGTCCCGTCCCCTTGGTACCATTTCCTTCCCCGTCCTCCCTCGCCCACCCCCACCATGCCCCCACGCCCCACCGCCACCGACCCTCCTACATCCCCGTCTCAGTTGCCCTGCGCCTGAGCCCCGCCTCCCGCCCGTGATCCTTCCTGAGCCCCCAGTGCCCTGCACCCCTCTTTTCGTCTCTCGTGCGGCATGCGCCCCCTCAGCCTCCCAGGCTGACCCTTGCCCTGCACCCCCTCCGCAGACACTGGGCTGGGACGCACTGCTGGCCCGGCGCCTGCCGCCGCCCTTCGTGCCCACGCTGTCGGGCCGCACCGACATCAGCAACTTCGACGAGGAGTTCACAGGGGAGGCCCCCACGCTGAGCCCGCCCCGCGAAGCCAGGCCCCTCACTGCTGCGGAGCAGGCGGCCTTCGAGGACTTCGACTTCGTGGCCGGGGGCTGCTAGCCCCCGCATCCCTCCCCTTGCCCTGCCCGCCCTGCCTGAGAGCTCTTAGTTTTTAAAAAGGCCTTTGGGGTTTGCCCCGTCCATGCATTCTCCGTCTCTTCTTGTGTGTAGGAACGCGGGGGCGTGCCTGGAGGGGGCGGCAGGGGGGGGCAGGGGGATGGGTGGAAGCGGGAGTCAGGAGTGATGCGGGGACATTTGAAGAGGGTCAGGGCGGGGTGGGGAGCGTAGGTGAGCCACAGTGGGAGCGGGCTGGGGTTGTGGGCGTCGGGGCTGCGAGGCATGGGGGGGCGTGGTTTGCGGATAGGGTTTTGGGACTGTGTTGGGGGAGCTCAAGGCCATAATTGGCAGAATGGCTGCGGGAGTCCGTCCTGGCGGCGGCAGGGACCGCCCCCCCAAAACCCTTCTCACTCGGCTCCCAGCGGAGCCCCCCAAGTCCCGGCGCGGCGTTGTGCGCATGCTCCTGCGGCTCCAGCTTGGCTTCCTTGAGACCGAGCGTCCGGGCTCTCTGCGCCCTGGCGCGGTAAGTCTCGGAACTGCACTCGCCCCGGAGGCGCACGGAGCGCCTCTGACGTCCCCGCGCGGCCACCGTGGGTGCTGCAGCCCCGACGGGACACACCGTCCTGGGCTCCAAAAATGGCTTTATTCCTCAAAGGCTCTGCACTGCGGACCTGGGCCCGGCCTAGGGTGGGCTGGCTTAGCCGCTCGGCTTCCGGGCGCGCTTAAAAGTGGCTGAGGCCACTGTGCCGGGAGCTGCGCAGGGAGCTGGCCTCCCAAGTGCCCCAGGTCAGGCCCAGCACCGACGGGCCGCCTTTGGCGCTGCCCCTCGGGTGCAGGAGGCGAAGCAGCTGGCGCAGCACGGCCTGGCGGAGCAGGATGTACACCCAGGGGTCCAGGATCTGGTTCCAAGACGCAAGGCGCACGGCCAGAAACAGCGGCCGCTGCAGGGAGCTGGAACTCCAGCCCCCGACGGCCAGCACCACCAACACCTGCGGAGAAAGTCGGTGTGAGCGGTGGGGCGGGAGGAAGGGAAGGGCACGGGCGAAGGGTGGGGCTGGGGCGGGTGGGGGCGTGGCTGGAAGAGGAGGCTGGGAGGAGGGGCGGGCGTCAGGGGGAGGGTAGACGGGGATCTATGTGGGAAGGGGCTATGGAAAGACGGCTGTAGAAGCAAAGGCTTCAGTGGGGGACGGCTCTGTTCAGAAGCCCCAGGTATCCCGAAGGACGTGGGACTCAAGGGGAGAAGAGAAGCGAGGGGGTCGGGTGGAGGAGGGCTAGGGGATGAATGAAGCGTGGGGACTTAGAGGGGCAGGGCTGGAGAAGGGGCCTGTGTGGGTCGAGGTGGGCTGCAAGAACCCCAAGAAGGAGGAGGAAAGGGGGCTGGAAGGATGGGACGTCAGAAGCAGAAGGCAAAGGCCTGGCTCTCCTGGCACGTGCGGCCTCAAGGGGGCGGGGCTTTGGCTGGGTTTGGGACTAAGGCCCAGGTATCCTAAGATGGAGCAGGGTGGGAGGGGCCGAGGGGGGGCTCAGGAAGGAGCGTGGCTCACAGGGCGGGCGCGCCCCTCACCAGCAGCGGGCTCCAGCAGATGCACGAGACCACCATGATGCCCACGAGCTGGCCCACCATCTCCACGTCGTGGGCGCGGGCTCTGCGTGCTGAGCCGCCGCCCCGGGAGCCGCCAAAGGCGACGGAGGCCGAAGCGATGGACGAGGCGGACGAGGCGGAAGCCGAGCGGGGTCCGCGCAACCCCCAGCGACGGCGGCTGTCGGGGCCAGAGGCCGAGGGGAGCCGTGCGGAGCGGCGGCGCCAGCGGGCGCGCAGCAGGGTCAGGCCGCTCAGCGTGTTGCACGCGAGCGCTGCGAGGAGCGCGGCCAGGCCGAGGCCGGCGAAGAGGCCGGCGAGCAGCGCCTGGCGCCAGCCGCCCGGCGGGCCCAGGCCGATGAAGCACCAGGTGCCGGGGTACTGCAGCTCGTAGCGGCCCACGCGCGCCAGCGGCAGCAGCGCCACGGCCAAGGCGACGGAGGCCAGAGCGGCCAGCGCCAGGCGCGCGCGGGCCGCCGAGACCCGGGCCGCGTGGAGCAGCGGTCGCGTGACGCCCACCCAGCGCTCCACGGCCATGCCACAGCCCAGAAGCAGCGGGCACAGGCCGAAGAAGACCATGCAGCCGCCCAGGAAGTGGCAGGCTCCACCGGCCGGCGCGCGCCCCGTGGCGTAGAGGCGCAGCACCAGCGCGCCCGGGATCACGTGGCCCGCCAGGTCGGTGACCAGCAGGCTGGCGACGAACAGAAGGAAGGTGGCCGCTGAGCGGCGGCGCCGCAGGCGGCCCGCGGCCTGGGCCAGCAGCGCCAGCGCCAGCAAGTTGGACACAGCGCCCAGTGTCATGGAGAAGATGGGCAGCGCGGGCGACGCGCCGGAGCCACCCGACGGCGGCACGGCCGACGTGTTGGGGCCCCTGGGCGCCGCGCAAGTGGTCGCCTCGCCGGCCAGGCTCAGGTTGAGGGGCCCGCAGGGGCTCATGTCAGGTGCCGGGGGTGCTGGGTGGAGGAGAGGAGGGCAAAGTGAGGCTGAGGGAGGCCCCAGGCGGTCCCATCTCGGACCATCAGCGCCCGTCGGATTCCACAGGTTCTTCTGCCCGTGGCAACTCCAAATGACCTTGGCCACTCCTTTCTGACCGCCTCCTCCTCCTCTGCCTCTCGCCACCCCATCTCCTGCTCTGGCACCCTGCTCTCCCCTCCACAGGTCCTTGCAGCAAATTTCTGGCGCGTGGCCCTATCGGACCCTGCCATCCCGTCTCACCCTCACCATGTCGCCTTTATTCCAGTCCCATCCTTGACGCCCCCAGCCATGGGCACATCTCGCCCCTTAGCACTGGCTGTCTCCCCATAGCCATGTCCGGATCACCGTGGACCCACCTCTGACCCCCATGGCAGTGTCGCTGTCCTCACGGCCCCATTTCTGTCCCCATGCCCCATCTCTGTGCTCCATTGCTGTCACCCAGGCCCTACTCTGATCACCTCTGCCTCAGCCTGGATGCCCACGGTTCCACCCCATGTCCCAGCCCCAGGACCACCCATTCCTCTGTACCCTGGTGGTGAGGGCTGAAAGTGCAGAGGTGCCCACAGGCCAGATGGGAAGGGAAGGTAGACAGACGACAGATGGGGGCTGAGAGCCAAGGAACACAGGACGGACAGACTGAGGCAGCCACCGCCGTCCCTGCACGCCCTTCTCCGCCCCACCGGGACCCTTGTGTGCCCCAGCCTGCTTACCCGGCGCTGGCTGGGATGTTGGGTCCCCATCGCCGGCCGCTCAGCCCCTGAGCCCGCCGCGCCCGCCGCCGCCCCTGGGTGCCTGCAGCGCCTGCTGCGCCCCAGCTCTCCGGCAGGCCGCTCCCTCCCTCCCTCTTCCTGGGGCGGCTCCTCGGCTCCTCCCGCCGCCCTTCCTGGCCTCCAGGGGCCGTTCCACCAAGCCCGCGCCTGCTGGGAACCTGGACTGGCAGAGACCCCCTCTCTGTGCTCCTGGCAGTGGGCGGGGACCACTTAGGGCCCCAGATCCCCCTACAAGGAGGGAGTCTCCCTGGGAGTCAGCCTGGTCCCCTGTGACCAGCTCCCAGTGTGGCAAGAGCAGCCCCCTTCCCCCAGGCGCTCGGGCTTCTTGCCTGCCTCATTAATAAAGCGGATAAAATCTAAACACTGGAAAATGTGAGCATCGCCTGGGGCAGGCTGGGACGCCTGCAGGGGGTGTCACTTCCCCCCCCCTGCCCTGCGCAGGGCTTTGGGATTAGGGGTGCTAACCCTGTGTGCTCGGGGGCAGCAATGTCCCCTGGCCTGCCAGAGCCCTGGTGGATGTCGGGTGGTGGTGGTGGGCAGAGCCGCGGGTGGGCCGGGTGGGCCGGCGTCGTCAGGCCAGCCTGGCCGGGGGATCCGCCCATTATTTACACAGGGGCTTAAGCCCAGGCCAGGGCCACAGCTAGTCATACCCTCCGAGGGAGGGAGAGCAGGCTGCAGGGGGGCAGGGGAACCAGGAGGCCTGGCCCACCGGGGGACTCTCTTCCCCCAGCGTCTAGATCCTGCTTTAGGATGGGTTCAGTAACACCTGGACACGTGTCCCAAGCCACAAAGACAGTCACGCCCTCAACCCTGGGCACACAGCTGCCGCCTCACCTGACCTCCCACCCTGGAAGTCGGGCGAACACGGTCTCACCCCCTGAGACACACAATCACCTGCGGCCCTGAGTCCCCGCCTCTGTCGCATCCTGTCCCCATCTCAGCAGCAGCCAGGTGCTGCCATCGCACCCCTGAACTGAATGAGTGTGTCACCCCCAGTGCCGGAGAGGCACCCATAGCTACCGACTTCTAACGGCAGCCACTTCCCTCAGCAGCCCGCAGTGCAGCCCCCAGGGAAAGCCCCATGAAGTGATCCTCCCGTCACACCACTTAGTGCTGGGAAGTGGAGTGTCACTTGGCACCCTGAGACACATACAATCCTTAGTGCTGAGTGAGCGCCATGGTCACCCGGAGACTCCCCCCGACAATCCAAGACAGGCCCTACGAGGACACTCTGTACACCCATGTCACAAGGAGCGGCACCCCCTGAACACCTGAGATCTAGCTGGCCACCTCCCTCTCCCCTCAGAAACGGTAGCTCCCTGACACACACATGCCCACACTTCTGGGTACCCCTAGACCTAGCCATTCACCCCGACCCCAGAAACAGCAACACCCTGAGACATACACTCACACCCCTGGACACCCCAGACCAAGCCAGTCACAGCCCTGGACACCCCAAGACCCAGCCGCACCGTCACACTCCCCACCACCAGACACTGCCAGTTACACCCAGGAACACGGCCGCCACATCCCCTACCCGTAACACAGACACAAGTCACAGCCCTCCTGCATCATGGGCACGAGCCATCAACACGACAGACACAGTCCTACTCGACACCCCCGACGCACGCAGCCACACCTGCTCTCCACCCTAGCCGGCTCCGAGCACAGACACACGGGGAGCCCACAGGTGCCCAGGGGTGCCCTGAGTCACCCTGACAGCAGCTCCCCTGCCCCAGCCACCCCATGAACAGAGCCGCAGGCCTGTGTGCCAGCCAGCCCCGGGTGCCTGTCCCCTTCTCCATGTCCCAGCACGTCCCTGTTGGAAGTGGTTGGGGAGCGGGCCGGGCTCAGACTTCCCTGGAGCCTCTCAGCTCCCCCAGAACATTCCTGCGAGAGCCTCTGGCCTGGCTCCCCTCACTTCAGTCCTCTCCCTTCCCTCCAGGTCTGGCCAGGGGCCCACCCCCCTTGCCAGGATCCCCCCTCGATCCTCGAGGATGAAGTGGCTTGTCAAAACAAGCACGCTGGGTTCACGGCCAGTGAGAAGCATCGTGCACCGCGGACGCCTGCATGTCCAGCGTCAGCTGGGGTGGGGCGGGGGCTGCATTGCAACCCGAGGGTGGGGCCCCCGGCAGGCCTGAGGCGCCATCTTTCTTTTTCCCAAGCCAGGCCTCCATGCCCTGGTGCGCCCCATGGCTCCAGGTTGTCACCGGCTGTACACAACAGCCTCGTGCCCACTGTTCACACAGGGCGTGGTCGGGTGGGAGGCCTTGTTCGAGAAAGGGCTGGATTTGAACCCTCAGTAGGCCAGGAAGCTCGGGTCTTGCCCGGAAGCCTGGTGGCCCGCAGCCAGGAGGAACGGTGGGAGGGGGTGGGCGGCCCCGGGCCAGCTCCTAATTCAATTTGGAGCCGAGGAAGATGGATTTCAGCTGCCGCATTCTTTCCCAGCCCTGGCTCCCCCCCCAATCCCAAACCACTCAGGTCCAACAGCAGATAGATTCTTTATGTTCGAGACAGCAAATTCAGATACAAAAGCCCACCGCCATCATGCCTCCCTCCCCCCTGCTCTGGTCCCAGGCTGGGCCTTGAGGGAGAGATGGGGGGCTGGGGAGGAGGTTGGGGGTTCACAGCAGATTCATTTCAAATGCGGAGGTAACAGACTCCACGGGGAGGGGGGGTGGAGGGGGAGGGTATTATTGCATTTGCTGGGGGGGACACCCCACCCCTGTATTCCCTGCGTCAGGAAACTAGGAAGGTCACCACCCCAAACAGAGCCCGAGGCCCCAGGGAGACACAGAGGGACCAGTTTGGCAGCTGATGGCGGAAAGTGTGGAAGGCGGGGGTGGCTGCCCAATTTGGCCAATCCCTCCCCGCGCCTGACCCGGCTGAGGTAGGTGGGGAACAGGGCAGGGGGGCCGGGGACCCCAGCCAGGAAGGGGGTGGTACCGATAGCAGTGGGGCAGGGCCAGGCCCCGCCTCCCCTCTGCATGGCCCTGGGGCTGCTGAGCTCGGCCCAAGGCAGACACTTGGGTCCGGGCCCTGGAGTCCCCTCCGGGGGGCTCCGAACCAGGCTGGGCCCAGGTCATCGTTGAGAGGTCCAGTGGGAGTCCTAGTAGCGGCCGACCTTGGCGTCCCCGATGGCGCCCCAGACGTCAAAGACGAACTCATCGGGAAAGGCAAAGTCACCGAGCCGTTCGTCCAGGGCCTCGGCCAGCTCGTCTGGGTTCTTTTTGTCCTTCCCCAGCTCTACCATGGTGGCCGCTGTGGGGGGTGGGGGCAGAATGGAGGCACAGATGGCCCAAGGGGCGGGGGGCTCAGAGGAGACTCAGCCCCCGCCAGACCCAGGCTCCCACCCATCCCCGCACCCAGGTACCCGCCACTCACCCAGCTCCGTGTCCCTGATGCCCATGTAACTCTCCAGTAGGTCATCGACCTTCTCGATCGCCTTCTCCTCAAAGGCCGAGGGCTGAGGTGGCGGTGGTGGGGGGACAGTGACATCATCATATTATGAATTAAGTAACCGTATTATTAAGTGCCAGGTGCCCTTGTCATCACTTTACACAAACACATACTTAGTCCTCACAACAACCCTGTGAAGAAGGCATCGGTGTTATTATCATCCCCATTTTACTGACGGGGAAACTGAGGCCCACTTGCCCAAGGAAGGTCCCTGGGAGGTGGCAGAATGGATCTGAATCCAGATTGTCTGCCCAGAGCCCCTCAGCCTAACAGGTAACGCTGCCCCTATGGAAGCGCAGGCACAGGGGGAGCTGGGTCACTCACCAGATCCTCCACCGTGGCGGGGCCCCGGGATCGGAGCCGGAGGGTCCCTCGGCCAGTGCCCAGTTGCGAGCCAGAGCCGGGGCGGCCACCCCCTGAACGCTGGCTGATCATGTCTGCAGGAGGCAGGGAAGGGGCGAGGATGGGGGCAGCTCGATTTCAGCACGGTCTGGGCAGGAACCCAGACATCCTGGCCCTAGACACTCACCCCCTAACCTTCTCCAAGCTTCTCTGGGGGGTTAGAGGCTGAGGTGGCCCTGGGAGGGCAGGCATGGCATGGATGTGGTAGGGGGGACAGCTGGGGATCAGGAATGGGACACACTGGAGGGGAGACTGGAGGAGCCATTTGTGCTCTCTTCTCAGGGTCTGAGGGGCTGGGGGCCTGGGTCTGTAGCTACTCTCCTCTCGCCAAGCTGGGGTGTGTGGGGCCAAGGGGGTGCGGCGGCTGTGCCACAGACCAGGCCTACCTGCCCAGGAAAGTGACTGAGTCCCCCACCCCCACCACAGGGGCCTCGGGCCCATTCCTGAGAGTTAGTGAAGCCAGATGGAGAAGTGGGGGAATGGCACGAGGCAGCCAAGCCTGGCTTCTCAGGGCTGGGGGCTGGCCAGGGGTGGGGGCGCTTGGCTGGGCTAATGGCTCCTGGAAACTGGGTGTGGGGGCAACTTCCTCCTCGCCCCCACCCTTCTCCCAGGTTGGGCCAAGAGCGAGCACCCCCTCCTGGAGCAGGGCAGAGCTGCCCCCCTTCCCTGCAGCCGGCTGGGCTTGGGCGCCACCTGCTGGCAGCTCCCAGCACCACAGCCTGATCCCACCGGAGCAGAGTTGCTTTGGAGGTCCAGGTGGCAGCCGCCCCTCACCAAAGGCCTTGCGGGGCTCTGTGAGCTTCAGCGTGAAGGTGCGGCCCCGGGGCAGCTCCTTGAGCAGCCGGGCCACCTCGTAGTGCCGGCAGCCCAACAGACTTTGCCCGTTGATGGCCTCGATCATGTCGCCCACACTGATGAGCTGGATGTGGTCGATCACACTGCCCTCCTTGATGCGCTGTGAGGACAGAGTCATCAGCGTCTGTGGCTCTGCCCTGGGTCCCATGACCCACCCTTGCCCCCAGGCCTCCACGGTGCCCCGTCCACCCACCTTGATGAAAGCGTAGCCAGCCCCATTGTCCGTGATGGTGAGCCCCAGCGCGTCCTCCGACTTGAACACCTCCACCTCCTTGCGCTGCCCCTTGACGTGGGCAAAGATGAAGTCCTCCAGGCCGATCTGGCCCCCCAGCAGCTTGTCCATGTCCACTTTGTGGGTGTTGAGGGTGCAGAACATCACCTGCAAGGGCGGGAGACACTCGACCCTTGCCTTCCTCCCTTGCCCTTTGCCAATCACCGCTTGCCAGGGAAAGGAGGAGTTGGGAAAGGGTGGGGGGACTCCGTCCCAGTGCCTGACCACTCCCTGAGCCAGCTCTGCTGGGACGAGGATCTCTGTGCTAGCGAAAATGTACTGCTGTTTCCGGGGAGCAGAGCCTGACACGTGGCAGGTGCTCAGTGAATGCTTGTGGAAGGCACAGACCTTCGCTCTGTTACTGAGACCCCAGCAACTGCTTCCCGCTCGATCCCACTGCTGCCCTCCTTGCCACCCTCCCTCCCACTGCCGCAGTCCTTGCGGTCAGGTGTCCCAGTGCATCATTGGGAAGTACATCTTGCATCTGACCTCTAGCCTCCATGATCTACTGGGGTGTAGGCCTCCCAATGCCTGATGGGAACTCAGCACCTATCCCTGGCAGTCAGCTCCCACAATCCATCAGGGCACAGGCTGCCCAGTGCCTGATGGGAACTCAGCATCCAGCCCTAGCTATCAGCTCCCACAATCCATTGGAGTGCAGGCCTCCCAGTGCCTGATGGAAAGTCAGCATCCAGCGCTGGCCTCTAATTCCCCACAATGCACCAGGGCACCGACTGCAGCATCTGCAGCTCCAGCATCCAAGCCCCAGCTCACGAACGGGGTGCAGGCCCAGGCCTCTAGCCCCCCCTCAGGGACCCTGGTGCCCAGCTCCCCAGCGGGTACCTCGGCAGTTGGCAGGCGGAAGGCCTCGGCGATCTTGCCGTACAGCTCCTTGACGTTGGTGAAGCCCTCGATGCGGCCAGTGGGACTGCCGTGGGCCAGCTGGGTGTGGAACACGAGGCGGGGCCGCAGGGCTGGGGGTGGGGGGGGCAAGCCCATTTGGGGCCCCCCTGCCCCACCTCCGCCCAGGGGCCCCAGCTCCCCCACGCCCAGCCCGCCACGGCCTGGCTCAGCCTCCTCATTTTCTACCAAAGGCGGCGCCTTTTTCCGCCGCCCCAGTCCCAGCGGCATGAGCAGCGAGGAGTAGGGGCACGCCCAGAAGACCTGCAGGACAGAAAGCGGGGCTCAGGGCCTCAGGACCGCTCCCTCACTCCTAGCATCAGACAGGCCCAATGAAGCACTCAGAGAACAAACTCGCCTCAGTTCAAATCCTGGTGTCAGTATGTACACACTTGCGCAGAAAGCAGTAACAACAGCAGTTAGTATCTGTTACACCCCCACACTAACGCTTGTGACCCTCCTTAATCCTCACACCGCGCTGTAATGGAAGGACCACGTTATGCTGTAATCACGCCCATTTATCAGAGGAGAAAATGGAGGCTCAAAGCGATTTCTCTTTATTTTTCCATCACTCATTAATGCTGTGTGCAAAAAATTTGATTCTTCCCTCCTCAAAGCACACAGGTGATGGCACTTCCTGACCCCCTTGTGACTGGGCAGGTAAATGACTAGCTAGTTCTGGCCAATGGGGTGTGAGAGGAAGCAACATATGACACTTCTGGGCTAAAGCGTTTCCTTGCTAGAGTGCGAGCCTCTATAACTCCACTGCTCTGGGACAGGGTGAGCAGCCACATTCCATACGGTGGCGACTCAATCAGGTCGCACCTTGAGTGATGAGCTGCAACGGAAGGGTAGCAGGAGCCAAAAATACACTTTCGTTGAGTTCAGCCACTAAGATTTAGGGGTTGTTTGTTACTACAACAAAACCTGTCCTGATGGACATACTTTTTTTCTTTCTTTTCCTTCTCTATTTCTTTCTTCCTTCCTCCCTCCCTTCAAACTTTTTTTTTTGAGTATTTAACATATTCCATGCGCCATTTTATCTTATTTTTTTGAGACAGAGGTCTTGCTCTGTCATCCTGGGTAGAGTGCGGTGGCATCATCGTAGCTCACAGCAACCTCAAATTCCTGGGCTCAAGTAATCCTCCCGCCTCAGCCTCCCAAGTAGCTGGGACTACAGGTGCGTGCACCACCACGCCTGGCTAAGTTTTGTATTTTTAGAAGAGATGGGGTCTCGCTCTTGCTCAGGCTGGTCTCCAACTCCTGAGCTCAAGTGATCCTCCCACCTCAGCCTCTCAGAGTGCTAGGATTACAGGCGTGAACCACCACGCCTGGCTAATGCACCATTTTAGATGTTGCCTTCAGTAAGACAAGCAAGATCCCTGAGTAGGGCCACCGCGTGCAGTTATACAGGTTGTGCACTGTGCAAAAACACTAGACCAAGGTGGCAAGTGGGACTGAAATTCAGCCTGAGCTCTGCCTGCCAAGCTACATTCCTTGGTGTGGTGTGGTCTGCCGGGAGGAAGAGCTGTCTTTCTAATTTACTCACAGGTGCTACATAGGCTAGCTGGGGCTCTGTCCAGGCCCTCCCGAAGTGGAAAGTCCAGAGAGAGAGATGCACAGTAAGCAAGAAAATGTGTAAATGTCTAATACAATTTCTAATAGTGCTAGGAAGACAATAAAGAAACACAAGTTCTACAGACAAGGTCAAGGAGGGCCTCTGTGACCAAGTGAAGCTGAACTTCAGAGCTGAATGACAGGAGAAAGTGCCCAGGCAAGGCTTTGGGGCAAGAACATTCCGGGCAGAGGGAACAGCCAGTACAAAGGCCCTGGGGTGGGTATGTGCTTGGCATATTAAAGGAATAGCGAGGAGTCGCATGTAGCTGCAACAAAGTGGGGGACAGAGGGAGGAGGTGAGGGCAGGAAGGTAATAGTGTTGCTATAGTTTGGAGATGATTTGTCTGTTTCCAGCAAAAAAAATACATGCTGGAATTTGATCCCTAAAGTGGCAGTGTTGGGAGGTGGGGCCTAGTAGAAGGCCCCTTAGGAATGGCTTGATGCTGTTCTTGAGGCAGTGAGTGAGTTCTCTCTCCCTTGAAGCTGGATGAGTTCTCAAGGGAACAGATGAGTTCCTGAGAGAGTGGGTTATTATAAACCCGGGGCGCTCCTCAGGTTTCCTTGTCTTTGCACGTGCCCACTTCCCCTTTGACATTCTCCATCATGCTGGGATGTAGCAAGAGTGCCCTCGCCAGAAGCAGTGCCATGCCCTTGAACTTCTCAGGCTGGAGAACCGCGAACTCAACAGACCTCGTTTCTTTACGTATTAGCCAATCTCGCGTATTCTCTTACAGCACAACAAAACGGACAAACGGGAGTAGAGCACGCAGGGCCTGTGGACCTCCAGGAGGATGTTGGCTTTTATCCCAAGTGAGGTGGGAGCCATGGAGGGTTCTGAGCAGAGGAGGGACATGCCCTGCCTCAGGCTCACAGATCAGCCAGGAGCCCAGCACGGCTGCAGCGGAATGAACAAACGGGAGAATGTGACGACGGGAGCGAAAAGAGGTGACAGGGACAAACTGCGCGGGAGCCTTATGGATTGGGGAAGAGTTCAGATTTCATTTTTAAGTCACACATCCAAAGTCACAGAGGATGGATGTATTCCCAGGTCTGCCTGACTCCCCAGCCCAAGTGCACAACCACGAAGCTATCCCCTAAGCGACGCCATCTCTCCGGGCCTCAGATGCCCGCTCTGTAGATGAGGATATTCCAGCTACCTTGCCTGGTGGTGGTGAGGCTCGAATTACACACCAGGTTATATTTTTCTGTGAAAAGGGGACTTCCTGGTCCCTCCCTTCAGATTGTCTCTTCCAGGGGGCCAACCTGGATTCAGTTGAGCCCAGTTGGCTGTACCCATCCTTGGGCATCCATGTGTTCATGCACTCATTCATTCATTCTTTGATTTATCTTCTAACACCTCCTCTGATATCACCTGGTCGGCCCCATTATCACTCACCTAGACTAGTGCAGTCCCCTCTTGCGGGTTTTAGGCTTCCACGTGTGCCCCCCACAGCTTCTTGTCAAGACAGCAGCCAGAATGACCCTGTAAAACATAAGTCACATCACTGTCTCTGCTCTGACCCCTCTAAGGGCTCCTACCGCTCTTGGGATAAAAGCCAATGTCCTCCACGTGGCCCACAGGCCCCAAAGGACCTACCCTGTCACCTCCCAGCCCTTACTCCCTCCAACACACCAGGCACAGTCTAGCCTCAGGGCCTTTGCACTGGCTGTTCCCTCTGATATACACCTGACTCATGCCTCACCTGTTTTAGGTGGGATATATATTTCATTTATACCTTGTTCATTGTCTGTTTTCTGAGAAGACAAAGAATTCTGTCTTACTCATTCCTACATCCTTAATGAATAGAACAGTGCCTGGCACACAGCAGATGCTCAATAAATACTTGTTGAATGAATGAGTGGATGAATGATCCCATTCATTCATTCATATTCACTGGCCCGCCAGTCCCTGTGCTTGGCTCTGATGAAGTAAGGGGCACAGGCTATAGTCTCTGCTCTCAAAAGGGTCTTCTCTCTCAAGCAAAAGTGCAAGCCCCACTCTGTGGTCCCCTCCAGGCCTCATGCTGGGCACACAGTAGGTGCTTTGCCTAGCCATGAAGGTAGGGACAGCAACTCCCACTTCTTTCTTTGTGGCTTTGACGTTCACTCTCCTGATGAACAATGATGCTCAACACCTTTCTATACATTGATTAACCACTTGGATGTGTCTTTCTGTGAATGGCCTGTGTAAGTTTTTGTCCATTTTCTTTTTAATGCGTGGCCTGTTTTTAATTGCAAGGCCTTTTGTCTTATTGATTTGTGCTAACTCTTTACATGTTCTGGACAATGGTCTTTTTTTTTTTTTTTTGAAGCAGAGTTTCACTCTGCTGTCTGGGCTAGAGTGCCGTGGCGTCAGCCTAGCTCACAGCAACCTCAAACTCCTGGGCTCAAGCGATCCTCCTGCCTCACCCTCCCGAGTAGCTGGGACTACAGGCATGCGCCACCATGCCTGGCTAATTTTTTCTGTTTTTAGTTGTCCGGCTAATTTCTTTCTATTTTTAGTAGAGACGGGGTCTTGCTCTTGCTCAGGCTGGCCTCGAACTCCTGACCTCAAATGATCCTCCCACCTTGGCCTCCCAGAGTGCTAGGATTACAGGCGTGAGCCACCGCGCCCAGCCGACAATAGTCTTCTATTGGTTCCCTCATCTCTCTATCCGTAGTGCCCATCACAAAGTCTAGCACACAGTAGGCATTCACTGAATATTTGACAAACAATAAATTCTAAATGAAAAAACCAGTACTACCCTCTCAAGTTATCTTATCACACTCAATGATGCTAAAAAAAAAAAAAGAAGAAACACAATTCTCATCATCCTTCATTATCCCCCTCCCACCCTTCTGGCTCTACCCACTGGGAGGCGGGATGCTAAGAACAGGAGACTGGAACCTCGCTTCATTTTTTATTAGCTGTGTGACTTGGGGAAGTGTCTTAACCTCTCTGAGCCCCAAGGAAATCAGGCATGTGCCCAGGACAGTTCCTAGCCCACAATAAGCGTCCCATAAATATTGGTGACTATTGTTACTATTGCTACCTCTCCTGTCTGCCAGTCAGTCTCCAAGATGCCTTCTTTTCCCCGTTGTCAGTTCCCCATCTCCTTACTCTCTCTGCCCACACCCACTGCCCCATTCAAGCCGGCTCCTGCGTCCTCACCTGTGAAGGGGGAATAACAGTAGTGAGGAAAGTGGGAGATTAATGAATTTGCCTTCCAGGCCATAAGAGGCCTCGCAGCCTGGGTTCGAATCTCACTCCTGCTCCTTACCAGCTGCGTGGCTGTGCGCAAGTCACCTCACTTCACAGGGCCTCAATGTCCTCATCTGAAAAATGGGCAGAATTCTTGTCCCTCAGGGTGCTTGTGGAAATGCAAAGAGATTATGCATGCAACAGGCCTAGCACTCTGCCCCAGACTCCATTTAAGGAAGCTATTATTATTGTCATTGGTACTGTTGCCTCCTCCCCTTCCCAGCCCAGGAATATCCCAGTCCTTCCTGCCTGCCAATGCCTACTCAGGCCAACTCCTCCAGGCAGCCTTCCTGGCTTGCCCCGGCCTGTTAGAACCGCCCCTGTGGTATAGACAGCTCAGGCCCATGAACTTAATTACATGGTGTTCTAGCAGAACTCTTGTCTTCCAGTCTCAGGCTGTTATTTAACTTCGTGTCTCTATTTTAAAACGTAAACCAGATGGCATCACTCCCCTGCCTGAAACCTTACAACGGTTTCCCACCTTCCAGAGGAAGAACTCCAACCTCCTTACTCTGACCCACAAAGCCCTGCAGAATCGTGGCTCTGGCTTCGTCTTCTGTCCAGACGCGCTATTCCAAGCTTGGTCCAGCCTCAAGGCCTTTGCCCTGGCTGTGCCCCTTGCCCGATCGCTGCAGGGCTGGCTCCTTTTGTCACCCGGACCTCAGCCCAAGACCATCGCCTGCCCACAACCACTCGGTCATGCCACCTCCTCATATTTTATTCGCGGCACTTAACACAATCTGAAATTATCTTCTTTATTTACTTGCTACTTTGTCTGTTGCCTGTTCCCTCCGCCCCCCCATGAGAATGCCAACTCCCCAAAAGCAGGAATTTTTGTCTTTTTTATTATCCCATCCTCTGTGCCAAGAACAGTAGTACCTGGCACATAGTAGGTGCTCAACAAGTATTTGTAGAATGAATGTGGCTTATGTCCTCATTCTGATTGCTCTTGGAGGCCCCCCATCCTCAAAACAGCCCTCCAACATGCCTGCTGTGGGGTTGTTAACTCTCATCGCCTCCCTGTTTTCCCTGTCTCCCCTCGCACCTGAGCACGGGGATAAAGAAGAGCAGCTTTAGCCTGGGCACGGAGTTTGTGGGCTGGAATTTCAGCATCCCCACTCCATCCTTGGGAAGGACATCACAGCCACACAGAAGCCCAGGCGGGGGAGCAAGAAGAGGGGAAGGGAGTTCCTGGGAGCTCCCACAAGCTAGTGGAGGTGGGGGGATACCACGCCCAGACTCCCCCTTCCAGCAAGGTATTGCCTTGGAGAGAAGGAGGCCTCTGATTCACTCTTGAAAAACCGGCTCCTGGGTGTTTCCAGGGAGAACGCCTACTGCCCAGCCTTGGCCCCGGCTGCCTAGGGAACCCAGTGGACACAGGACCCCAGCATCCAGACCCCCTGCCCGTCTCCCCTGTGCATGTCGCTCTCTTCTCAGGTATTCAGGCCTTGTTTTCCAGTTCAGGAGAGAAGGGAGTGGAGGCAGCTTCCTGTTTGAGCAACTGGTGTCTGGCAACCTCTGGGGGTTGGGAGGGGCAGGGGAGGAAGCAAAGACCAGCAGGTGTGGCCCAGATGGCGAGTATGAGGTGGGGAGGCGGGTGGGAAGGGGCTGGTCAGGAACGCTGGGGCCATGGAGGCACTGGGCATCCAGTCTGGTGGTTGAGACTCCAGTTCTAGACTCTGAGGCATGAGTTCCAGTCCCGAATCTGCCACTGACTAGCTAGCTGTGTGACCTTGGCCAAGTCACTCCACCTCTCTGAGTCTGCTGCCTCACCTCTAAAAGAAGTAACAGCACCTCCATGAGGTGTTCTGATTCAGTGATCCGCATGGTAAATGCGTGACACGGAAGCGCTCGATAAATGCTAGCTGGGGTGAGTTTCTCATATTGTTCTTCTCCAAAGCTTGGTCCTCACCGCGTCCCCCCAGGCCCTGGGGGGTTCAGCCGCGGTCAGCTCGTGGGGGAGGTGTCCGGGCAGGGGTCAGAAATACGGACCCCGCGCCTGTCCCCGCCGGGACGGGGACTGTCCAAAGGGAGGAAGGGGGCAGGGGTTCGGCACGGCTGGAGACCCCTGCCCGGGGGCGGGAAGGGATCTGCCCCGCAGGGAAGGGGCCTCGGGTATCCCCGCTCCCAGCCCTGGACCTCCAGTCGCGTCCACGGGGTCGGCCCCACCCTGCACGATCGGCCGGATCTCCGCGGGTCCGCGTCCCCCGCGGTCCGCGCTGGACCCCCCACCGCGGGCGGCCGCACCCGTCCCGCGGAGGCCACTCACCTGCGCCGCCGCCGCTCCGCGCGCACCCGGCTCGGCCCCTCCGCAAACTCCGGCCCGGGCCTCTCCCGCAGCGGCGGCGGGGCGGGGCGGGGCCGACGCCGGCAGCAGACCAATCAGCGGCGGCGGCCCGTTGGTCTCGGCCAATCCGCGCCGCCCGCTTCGGGTGGGACCTACGGACACATTCCAGAGGGATCCCTCCGCCGCGCCCGGCTTCCCGGCGCCCCCCGCGCCCTGGCGAAGTGGGCCGCTCCGCCCGCCCAGGCCGCGGAGGCTGTACCACCGCGCGACCGCGGAGGGGGGTCAGCTGCGGCTGCCAATCGCCGGGGAGGAAGGACAGCGAGCGGCCAATGGGAACCTGGGGCCCCTGCACCACGTGCTGTTGGCCGAATGTCAGTCTGGGGTGCCCTGAGTGGTAAGGGACTGGGGACGGGCCGTGGAAGTCAGGTGACCGAGGCCGAGTTTCGGGGAGAGGATGCGAACTCCTGACGTGCAGGAAAGTAGGCACTTTAGGAGAGCTGCGGGGCGTGCCTACGGCAGC